TCCGGATCCGGATCCGCCGGGGAAGAGGAGCCGCAGCACCACTTAGGAGCCACTTCGGGAATCAGAATTGCAAAAAAAGACGAAGAAAAGGATAGGATGGGGATGGGGATGGGGGGGGGATGGCTAGTGGTCCAAATGCACTGTGGTAGGATAAGGATCCAGCTTTTTCCCAGCAGTGCCGGTTGTGCGCACTGACTGTTTAACTTGATTTCAAAAGGGGGATATTGCAAAAATGATTGGATACCCCTCGCACTATTTCTGATGTGTGCAGGTCATTTGAAGTTGTCTTTATTATTTGCAAATAAAGTTGCCGAAATAATCAATAATCAACGTCCAGGGGGGTCGATGGTGGAGGCGCACCGCATAATGAACGCTCCTGGTCTGTTGCGTCTCCGCGGTCCCGCAGCTCCGCGTCGCGTTCACGGGTTCATGAGTGAGTTTTACTCCTCGTTTCCATGTTGTGTGTCCGTGGGCTCACCGTTACGCATGGTCCTCCTGTCTACATCACGAGAAACGAAAGAAAAAACAAAAAACGACAAAGTGGTGGTGGTGCCAAATGTTGGGGGGAAAACCCAATTACGCAGCCACAGTAATAGTCCAAACTCTGCAGTATCGTCTCATCCCTTCAGAGGTCCGTCCATTCTGCCGCAAACCAGAAACGGTGTCAACATCCAGCGAGGTCAGCCTGAGTTTGAAAGAGGAGTGCTGCTGCTGCTGGTGGTGGTGGTGGGTGGGGGTGTGTGGGAGGGGGGCGAGATGTAATCATACCACATTAAACCACGGTTTGTGAGGGCACACACACACACACACAGACAGACACACACACGCTGTTCCTGTTGTGCGCTTCTTTAGAGTTGGGTTTTTATACGCCCCTCTGTTGCTCTGCTGTCAGGACGCCCTCCCCCTATTTAACCCCTTCAGTGTGTGTGTGTGTGTGTGTGTGTGTGTGTGGAGGGACTGACCCACGAGTTCCTGCTTCAAAAGCACACAGCATGTTGAATAAAGTGTGGGTTTAACCATCCGCAGTGTCGGTCCGCGTCTCCCCGTGGAAACGCGGGAGGCGGCGCTTTGACGCACGGAGCGCATCCCCAACGATACCGCGGTGCGTAAAAGCGGGGTGCGCGCGGAGGCCCTCTACAGGACAACATAGTGTTGTTGATGTGGGATATTATATCATGTCAAACCCGTCAAGTCGACCAAATATGTAGGACCCTTTTACTTACTTTACCCCCCCCCCCCCCCCCCCCAGCACATTATGTATGAGCATCCCTGGAGGTGTCTTTTTGGCGATGCTCTTCCCACACCTTCCGAAGCGCGCCGACACGACAGCTGGCGGCGGATCCGTCTGTGGTGATGTCTGTTGTAAACTTCAAAGGGCAGATAACACATCAGGGGTCAGTTGGGGTTACTTTTGAAGGTAGCCTACCCCTGACTGACACATTTTGTAGTTGAGAGTGGGATTGTTTGATTCATTCATTTAAAAATAATCCATTCTATCTCTCCAAAAGATTGCAGGCTACTCCTGTGAAGGCTGTGGGAGACCATAGTCTTTAAAATGGAAATCATACATTTGTTTTGCATTCTTCAGAAACAGCAGTCAACATCAACAACAAGGTTACTTAAACAATAAATTAGACCCATATAACAAATCTCTCCACTTGGTCGCAGTGTGAAAAGTGATCTTCTGGATGCAAGAGACCATTTGGTTACAAGTCTCTGGAAAACATCACTCACATCAGAACCAGTGGAGTGTTACAATATAATTTATATTAAGTGTAATATATTGCAGTCTGTTTGTTTAACACACACACACAGCTTGTCTATCAATTTACAATATTTCATTAAATGTATCCCATCACGTAGGTCTATCCCAATAGAGAACTTGGTGAGGCAACAAGTGAAGAAGGATTTGACTATCCATACATACATAAGGCCTTGCTACTGCTTGCATGTTGCCATGTTTCACCCATCGCCGAGCAGTTTGTGTAATCATACAAAATACACAAACATAGCAGCCTTCCCACAGGACAAAACGAGTGCCGACTAGACCCAGTCTGACGCTGGGAGAAACCCATTCATCATCCGCCCTTTCGTTTCTCCAGAGCCCATCAAATCCCTCACCCATGCCAATACAATTTAGAGTTCAGCGCTAATTGCTAGGTTAGGCTTGCTGTTGGCTCAGGTGACTCATACTCCCAGAATGCTTAGATCCAGAGACATTTTGTCGGCGAAAGAGAACAGCGCCAAAACGCCAACAATTAAGTTGCGAAAACCATAGGCAAAAATGTACGCCGTTCGGTCACAAAAACAAGCCAAGACACTTTTTTTTGTTCCGTGTGTGTTGATTTTAATAGCATGTCAAGGAAGTGATTGCACTGTGATTTACGATTTTCTTTGGTAAAACATGACCTTAGGGGTTATATTTGAATCGAGACAGATGATATAGTTGATGATAATAGCGTAGTAGCAGCCACTTTTGTCCAACATTTTGTAGACCCTTTTCAGGCATCGTGGTAGAATACACACAGGTGTCGCTTATAACACTATTTATGGGTCTGCTCTTTTTATGTACCAGGGCACAGCTAGTAGACTGAAACTAGAGAACATATCACACACTGACCACGGACCACGTGTCCTGGGACATACAAGCAGCAGACCCATAGTTAGTGTTATGAGCAACACATGTGTTTGTCCTACGATGACACCTCTGTCAAAAGGGTCCATCCTTTGGTTGAAATTATGGATTTGATTGAGCACCAGGTATGTATCATCATGGCTTTGAGTTAAATGCACATCATTCATCTGAATCTGCATCTGACATACGTGCAGGTGCAGGATTTGGAGACTACGGATGTTAACTAAAAATGCCCCAGTACCATATTTTTTATGATGAAAAATCAAAATACTAGACTGCATGTATACGATGGTTCACTTTTTGTGTACGGTTTGCTCAGATGTTTAAAACATTATCTAGAAATGTGAACCCTACTCTTGAATTCATCATCGTGCTACAAAAATTAAAAAATAAAGTCTTGACCAAATTGAACCCATGGCATATACATTAAAACCGTACTTGTCATATTCAACTTAATTGAATATGTCCCATGGACACAAACCCACCAGAGATTTTACCCTTTGTCCCACAATCTCCTCATCTCCATATTGTATTCAAAGTCATATACAAAAATAAGTTTATATAGACTGTCAAAAATATCTCAAGATTGTTTACTTTTAGTTAACAATATATATATATATATATATATATATATAGATCTATATCTATATATCTATATATCTATATATATATATCTATATATATATCTTAAAAGGTGTATAAAGCAGCTGCCACATAGTAAGCCTTTATTGTGGCACGGCGTACAGAAGTAATACACTGTATTGCCAGATTCTGGGGCTCCACTGTCTGCATTGGGGGGCTCAGAGGCCCACTTTGTGTGTGGAGGAGGGGGAGGCGGTGTGTGTCCAGCCCCAGGACCACCATCAACTGTCTAACTCGAAGTCTGACTCGTCGAAGAGCTCGGGCCGAGGGGAACACTTCCTCCGCGAGAACTTAAGACACAGGTCGTCTCCCACCTCGTTTAAGTGGTGCAGGACCTGAAAACGGAAATAAAGGCATAATTGGCTACTAATATACTATTAACTATACAATATACCATAAATCATTTATCAGACACTTATAGTGAGTTTTAGATGCATGTCATTAAACACCACTCATACTGAAACCATGTCCGTTATTGTTGTCTGTACTGTGCATGTTGTCTTATTTATTAATGTATTGTATTTATTGTGATTAACTGTGATGTATTTTAACCAACCTGCACTTATTGTGATATACTGTGATGTGTTTTAACCAAGCTGTGAAGCCAAAGGCAAATTTCCACATTTGTGGACAACAAAAATTATTATTATAAGCATTTAGGCTCAAGCATTGGGGAGAGTTGGAACCCACACCTAACACCTGACCACTGCTACACTATCCGGTCTCTATATGTACACTGTAATACTGTACTGAGTGTTTATGTATTTAGTGTGTGTGTTTATGTGTGTGTGTGTGTGTGTGTGTGTGTGTGTGTGTGTGTCTGTGCATGTACATCCAGCACTCTCCCTACCTTGTCCAGCATGGCTCGCGTGTGTGCGGCGGACACACAGAAGCGGGCCCGGGCCTCCGTGATGGGCGTAGCCGGGAAGCCCACCACCACCACGCCGATCTTCCTCTGCAGCATGGCTCTGGAGAACGCTCTGCGGAGGAACCACAACACGCCACCGTCAGCGCCGGAGAGGAAGCGCAGATAGAGACTTGACACAGGGTAAAGCAGGGTCTAAAATGGACACCTGCCCAGCCATCGACAGATTGGCAGATAGATGTTTTTTTTTTGAAAAGAAGAAAAAAAAATCACGGTTGCATATTAAAACAATTGCTTTGCCAAGGAGATGTTTCCACTTTGGTAGGTAAAAAGACAATTCTAGGGCTGCCAAGATTAGTCGATTAATTGATCGACAGAAAATGAATTGAATCAAATTCGATTAATCGTTTAGGTTTCCTAAACCTAAAAATCGTTTACATTTATCAAGTACGAATACCAAATATTTTGGTGCTTGATGCTTCAGAAATTCAAATGAATCATCATAAAAAATGAATACTTTACTTTTATTTTTTTTAATTTGTACTTTTCCTGGCTGCGTCAGATAAAAGCACATTTAAGATATCACTTTGGACTCTGGTAATTTGTGATTGCATTTTCTAGACTAAATGATTAATCGTTAGTTAATCGTTAATGATCGTTAGATTATTCGACTATGAAAATCATTGTTAGTTGCAGCCCTATGCAATTCTAAAAGTACATTTTGGACCCTGTCCAAAGGGTTAATCTCCACCCACATCACATCTCCATCAAACCTTCACAAGGTTTTAAAGACATTTTGTGATTTTAATTATTTCCTTTGTGATGGCTGTCTTACAATGAATGCATGCATTCTTAGCATGGCCTCAGTGGGAATCAAACCCATAACCCCTGGCAGTGTTACGGCCATGCTCTACCAGTTGAGCTAAACAGGATCTGGGCCAATATATATACGCAAGTGTGTGTGTGTGTGTGTGTGTGTGTGTGTGTGTGTGTGAGAGACGTATGGAACACATGCAACATAGGAGTGGGAAAAACGAGGCGGGTAGAAGATAAGATGTGTTTGGTAGGACTTGTTGTCTTGTGTGTCAACTATAGTTTTTCCTCAGTGAACTACTTTCTAATTGGGTCCAAAGTACATTTTTTTCAGGGTGGACTTAATTTTTCCTCAGCATGTCTTAGCATAACCTACATGCAGCTCTCATTCTGTCAACAGTGAGCAAGGTGGGACACAGAGTCTAGTAAGAGTCAAAATAATGAAATACATTGTCTACAACCTGAAGTGAAAATAATGAAACATCATCTGTAACCTGAAGTAACGAAACACATGCACATCATGCAATGATGATCAGACTGTTTTTTTTAAAATTTTACTTTCAGACTCTTCAGGCAGAAGCCACGCCATAAAGAAGGAACCGATGGCGGTTACAGAGTTTACATCGCCGATGACGGGATACTCACACCACTTTGCCGGGCATGTACAGCAGGATGGGAACCACGGGCGAACTGTCGTTTCCATAGATGATGAAGCCCATCTCCTTCAGCCTGGCCCTGAAGTAGCGTGTGTTCTCCGCCAGCTGCTGGATCCGCTGGATGCCTGCCGTAAAAAACAACAGTGTTTCAACGCGGGATTGTGTTTCGCAACATTTCCACCTATGAGGATCTCTCCACTATTGAAGTGGGGGGGGGGGGAGCCAATCCATGTCCATGCCAGCTGCTTATATCGCCTATCTCTCTCTCCCGTGGCTGGGTCCCTGGCAGCCAGTCTGGTGGTGGTATAACCCCCCCCCCCCCCCCTCCCCATGAGGAACCAACTCATCCTTATCCCCTGAATCTCCATCTGGACGGTCCGAGCGCGCCACGCTGGACTCGCTCTTGATTACAACTCGGGCTGCAGCAGCAGCAGATGGTTCAGTTTTTGAGCGCCTGACAGCCGTGGCGCACGTGTGCACACACACACACACACACACACACACACACACACACACACACACACACACACCAAGAGTGAGCAGGGAGGGAGGGCTCATAAATAGGATAGGCTGCATTTTGCGCAAAGCGCCTGACTGCGGGGGGGTGGACACCGCAAAGTGGAAGTGAATGTAAATAACGCTTAAGTACCGTGTTGATTTTCCCGAAACATACGCAGTAAAATCCGGAAACAGGTGAGGGGGAAAAAAAGTGTGCATGTGTGTGTGAGAGAGGGGGTACGGTGTTAATCCCAAGGGCTCTCTAATGATGGGGGAGGCCAGGCCATACGAGGACTGTGGCGGTATTTCAGCACAGCTCAGTTTTAGTGTTTTTATTGTTATTACCCTTTGGCAGTACTTGGGAATTGATACGAGTGGGCCCTTTACATATCAGTATCTATTATATACCCGTGGACAGAATAAATACATGACAGCCAGGAGACCCGTTTCGTTCAACACTTGGACCAACATGTATTCCTCCATCCGCGCAGAGAGAGAGAGAAAGAAAGAGAGAGAGAGAGAGACCAGATGCTATAGTCGTGTAGGTGGGTCTTAGTTTCAACAATCAGGCACGCACAATTAACGTAAAGGTCCAAGCGTCATGTAAACATGTGCCAGTTGAAACATACACAAACAAACTCACACAACCTAAATGAGTCAGTCATGTTTCAAAGACCAGAGAGTTTGTAAACTCTTATCCAGAGTGCGACCTTATTGTGGCTATTGAGCATGATTCAGAAAACGTGTGCATGCAAACGTACCGGATGCATAAAAAAAGAAGAAAGAGTGACAAAGTCCGACAAGGACAAACAAACAAATCAAGCTCGGCTTGTACAACCTCACGCCACACGTCTTCTGTTAGATGTACATCACATCAAACATCACTCTCATGTTGTCCCGTTTCCTCATTCCACCACAACAAGGGCCATATTTTCCGCAGGGCATCTCTCTTTCCTTCTGAGCCATACAACAGTAACTCATCTCTGACGAAGTGACCTCAGTCTTACGACATAAAATCCTTCACACGTTGACACAAGATACGCGTCTATGCAGTACTTCATGAATCCAGCCCCCCCCGCCCTTTGTGAATAAAATATAAAATCCCCTGTGTTATGTTGTTGTCCTGTGCCTCAACACCCCTGAATGTGGGTCGTCTTTAAGCAACATAGACCTTTCCTGATGTGTGGTCAATGCAAACCGCGCGGCGACAACTACCAGAACGGCTACCTATTATCGAACGCTACAGTGAAAAAAAACAAAAAATCAAAATAAGAAAGGAAAGAAAAAAAAAAAGGGGGGGGGGGCGGGGGAGACCATTATATCGCAGTAATGACTACCTGGCTGTGCTGGTGTCTGAGCGTGTTAAAGCAGAGGCTTCTCAGCGTTGCAGGTTCCCCATATGAAACTGATTTCCTCCACAGCAAGGTCATGTGTGAGTTGGGACTGGACGTTCCTCTCCTCTTTCTCCCAATGCCGCAGACTCCCCTCTCCCAGTAATTGCTAGCACATTTCTCTTGACCGGCAGACGGCTGTTTGTCTTTCCCCACTGTTCAGGGCCTTAATAATACTAACAAAAACACCAATGTTAGCGCTACCCACTAGCTAGATCTGCCACGGGAAAATGTTTCATTACAGATAATTTATTTGTTCAGGTCGTATATATTTTTGTTTGTAGAAGGAGGCAAGCGAAGGGGGGAGATCGAGGCGGAGATATGGACGTTATAGGAGAAGGAAAACCACCATTCCATCCCAGGGCTGATATGGAGGTTAATGCCGCTCACCCACTGTGTTCCCATCCACTCCCATGATGCACTTCATGGCCCTGATGATCTGCTCGACGACAGGAGGGGACATGGCCGTGGCGTAGACGGCGCCGTGGGAGTGGCTCCGCAGGTAGTCCACCAACTTCTGTAGTGGAGGAGGACGGGGAGGTTATGATCATATGGCAAAAATATAAATACAGTATGGTAACTTTTTGAAAAAATATAAATACAGTATGGTAACTTTTGAATACAGTATGGTAGCTGCAACTAACGATTATTTTCATAGTCGATTAATCGAAAGAGTTTTTGGTTAATCGATTAATCATTTAGTCTAGAACATGTTATTGTTATTACCACTCCAAAGTCCAAAGTGATGTCTTAAATGTGCTTGCTTGATCTGACAAGCAGCCAAGAAAAACTAAAGTATTCATTTTATAATGATCCATGAACCAAACCTGAAGCATCAAGCAGCAAATCTTTGGTATTGTACTTGATAAATGACTTTGGTTTTGAACCTCCAAAATGGGACCCTTAAGTGTACCACACATGTATGTGCTTATGACCGCACCGTAAGTAAGCCTTCTTGAGGTCTTTAGAAAATACCCACTTTCTCTTCGGCATGACAGCTAACCGTTAGTGTACTGACAGATTCTGTCAGGCAAACCCCAAGCGTTATAGACTAGCAACAGTCTTGACAAGGACACATCGATTGATTGACACACATACGGACAAATCAGTGCTGAATTCAGACCTGTGGTGCATTGTTTATGTTTTTTGGTTAGGTAATAATGAGTGGGACAGAACATGATAAATATCTATGTAAAAGCTGAAAACAAGTATAATATTATTATTTTAATTGTGGTGAAAACCGGGACAATTTGGTAGTGAATGTTGAAAACCGGGACATTTGAGTTGTTTTATAGATATTTGTCGGGACTCGGGGGAATATACCCAGCTTGAAACCAGGACAAACCGGGACATCTGGTCATGTATAAATGACCTATACGATTAATCCATTATAAAACTTTAATTAATAATTGATTAATTGACTAATCGTTGCAGCCCTGACATTCCTTAAAAGGAGTTTGAAACGTCGAAGCCACAACATTTAGTCATTTTGCAGGCACTTTTATCTACAAAGCAGCTTACAGGTGCAGCTGAGAACAAAAAAAACATGAAATCAATATTGAGTCAATGACAAAAGTGTATTAAGTATGTGCTGCACTACCGAGTTTCTAAAAAACAACGACATAGTAGTTTATTAGTCCTTTGTTACTAGTGATCTTTCATTAGTAGAAGTCAAGTGTAACAGTTAAATATAAATATACGCTTTCCCAGTGTGCAATCAGTTTCACATCCTTGTTGCTTTTGCTACATCAAAGCAGTGAACAGGCCAGCTAGGCACGCTCCCAATTTTACTGTGACAGATTCACAGGTGAGAGATGAGGTAGCCATGCACCTCTCCTCTCAAACCACCAGAGAGAGCTCATGTACAGTCAACACCTGTACATATGAATCAATTAGGATCCCACCAGTCATGTCTCTGTCACCTCCCATCAGCTTCCGCAGGCTGTTTGGCTGTGTACGATGAGAGAGAGAGAGACAGAGAGAGACTGTAGCTCTCCATTCAGGAGGATCCCTTGATGAGGGCCGGGTCCAGAACACAGGCCGTCACGCTCATTATTCCTAAATGTCAGCACCAGATTAATTCCCGTCAAGAAGGAAATTCGAGTGAACGAGACTGATTTTCTCATTGGCCCAATGGCTAGTGTGCGCGTGACTGTGTGTGTGTGTGTGGGATTGAGTGTGTGTGTGTGCGTGTGGGATTGAGTGTGTGTGTGTGTGTGTAATGAGTCTAAGGTTGGCGTGCCAATCAGTGGCTACGTGGCGACCGGCCGTGGGGGTGTGTGTGCATGTGTGTGTGTGTATGCGTGTGTGGGTGTGGGTGGGTGATGAGTCGTAGCCGGAGATGCTGTCTGGACACCATTTCCACCCGCTGCCATCTGTCTCTATGTGGCGGTGACGGAGACGGCTGCCTTCTCTCACGCACGTGTGTGTGTGTGTGCATGTGTGCGCGTGTGTATGTATGTATATGTGTGTGCGTGTGTATGTGTGTGTGTGTGTGTGTGTGTGTGTGTGTGTGCATGTGTGCGCGTGTGTATGTATGTATATGTGTGTGCGTGTGTATGTGTGTGTGTGTGTGTGTGTGT